TTTTTCATACCATACCTATCACATCATACTTTTTCACTAATAACCAAACTATCATATCTTACTTTTTCTCATCACATCAGGGGCAAAATTGGAAAGTCAACCAAAATTATACTTTCCTTATTTTTCCCCAAAGTCAAAATCGGAAGGGTTTTGTGGAACGGAGGGAGTATATATCTACTTCATGTTCTTAAAAAATTGTCACCGTTTAACTTTTTTTATTAATTGTGTCATTTTTTTACTGTGAGTTAAATGTAATTTAAAATAATTAAATATTATAAAAAATTGATATTTCAAAATTATATTTTAAGATAGTCTCAATTTTATTAAGTTTATATTATAACTAAATATTTTCTTTCTATAATTCGTGATACACAATTTAACCAAAAAAATCTACTCCCTCTGTCTCTAAATATTTGTCACACTTCTATTACCGAGGTAAAATATCAAATTTTTTCAATTAATTTTATTTACATATTGGTATAGAAATAAAAAATAAAATTTACATATCAGAAAATTACGTAAAATGTTTTTCGAAATAAGAGGTGCCAAGAATATTTTATTTTATTAATTAACCAATGAAAACGTAGAAATAAACAAAAGTTTCTGCAACTGCTTAAAAAGCAAATGTGGCAAATATTTAAGGACGAATGGAGTATATCATTTTCACCACTAAAGCTTTTCCGGTTTGGGATGTTTGTATGTATCTGCTGAAAACTAGTTGAAGTCCTAAACAAATTCATTCCTTACCTGACATTTGTCACCCACTATGGCCATACCACTCACCCGCCCATTCCTTTTATTCTTTTCTTGAAAAAGACATCCATTCTTAGAAAAAAATGGAAAAGAAAAACTCAATTAATCATCAATTCCTAAATAAAATTTATTATCTCCGTCCCAGTGTATCTATCCAGTTTGACTTTTTTGAATCAAACTGGATAAACTTTGAACTTCAATTGCTCTCAATTTACATTGCATATTAGCATAATGAAATACAATTTTGAAACATATGACACACTGAGAACAAATAATTCAACTTCATCAATAAATAAATAAAATCAACCTTAGAGCTTTTATATCAACCTTACAATATAAGTCTTGCATATAATCACATTCTTGAAATGAAAAAGTAAATAAATTTTTCAAAAATTTTTTTACAAAAAAAATACAATTTTGAAAGTTCTTAGTACGTTAAATCCAATAGTCATTTTTATGTCAAAATACATTACGATTTTTATTTAATTGAAGCACTGGGATCTTAATTTTAAGTTCACGACATTTATAATCTCAATTAATCTTTTTGATGTGTTTTAAGCCAATAATGATTTATAGCTTAATTGAGAAACTCAAACTTCAATCATAATTCATATGATTCCATCATGATATTAGAACAGATTTTAGCCCACTACATTTATCTAGTTGTCTATCTGGAAGTTCATTTTTAACAAGTCGTGAATATTTAGCTCGGGTTCATGTTTAGTGTCCTATAGCGCGGCCCGTTTAACCCTATTGTTCTTCTCAAAGCTCCTTCATTTCAAACCCTTGGTATGGAGCCATGGAGGGATGAGAGAACTTATTTTGAAAGTGGTCAACCGATATGAACTTGGTAAAAATGGGTTGTTGTCTACTTGAAAAAGAATGTTCGAGTAGTGCCCGTTCGGAAACAATTTCACCACTTAGCTTTAACATTTTAAGAATGATATCTAATACTCATGTTCCAAGTTTATTTAAAGTTTAAACTACAAAATTAACCAAAATATTGACGCTAATAAAAATATTGTTGCCAAACAAGGTTGCATTCCATCGAAGATCTAAAGAGAATAATACTTTAATAAAATTTTTAGTTGAAGTAGCTAATTAGTTGAATTCAAACATGAAAATTATGTACTCGAGACATTTGAAATTTATTTAGACAAAAATTATTATGAGTCTCAAATATTCATTTCTATTTTACTCTATTGGTTTTTGTAAGAGACCATTAAAATATGTATGATATATCAAAGTCTGAATGAATATTAACCTACATCATGTCCTACGTTCATCAATTTTTTAATATACTCCGGAGTATCAAAAAAATTATAATGTAAGCAAATGTACTCCGGATTACCACTATTAAAGGAGTTCTAAGTTTCATCTTAGAATTTTCCAATTTGATTTATTCAGATAAATCAGTTAAAGTATTCTTTGTTTAAGATACTTTGATATTTTTTTTGGACATTCACTTTCATATTTAGAACTACTAAAGTTTAGTATGCCAGAGTATTAAAATAAGTTTGTTTTTTGGCTTGAGTGATAGAAATCCATTTCCCAAGACTAAAAGTGGAGGATATACATACTCATCATACCATCTCTTTTTTTTCATATTGGGACCACATCAAATTTCATTAATTCATACTTTTTCTTATTTTATTTGGGGTGTACATATACTAATTCGTCTACTTACTAGATATCTTTTTGCACCAAATCCTATTCAGTGCATCTATATCATTATTATCGTCCCACAATATTTGTCCACTTTTTATTTAAGGTAAGAACAAACTAAGCAAATGACTACTCTACCTTTGCCATCAATTAACTCCTTATTCCGGTTCTAACGAGCTCCGCACAATGAACAATATCACACACCATTGCCATACCTCCCTTATTGGGAAGATCTTCCCTATATTGTCTTGATTTTTTTTCACCATACGGTCTTTTTCTCTTTAAGTGAATCATTTCCTTATCAAATGTAGGCCAAATAGCGTCAGTACCTCTCGTGGTTTGCAAAACAGACACCAATACCTCCTATGTTTTCAAAACTTATTTCTAAAGTCCCTGTGGTTTCAAAATGCTGCACCCGTGCCCCCTCTGATCATTTTCCGACCAATTTTCCGGCGAAGAAGAGGGCATGGGTGCATATTTTCTAAACCATAAGGAGTATCAGTGCTGATTTTTATTTCTCGTTTATTTTTTGTTTTTTTTCATTTTTCCTTTTTTTGTTTCATTTATTAATTAGGGTTTTTTAAAATTGTTTTTATAATATTCTTAAAATTTAAAGTTATTTTTATTTGAAAAAATAAAATATACTCCCTCCGTCCTATAATGTTCTTCCCGGTTCTGTTTACGAAGTTTGACCGACTTTATTTTTAATTCAATCTATTTGATTGTAGGTGTAAAATTAAAAAATAAAATTTATATATTTAAAAACTACATCAAAAGTTCTACAAAACAAGTGGTGACAAGACTATAATATTTTATCAAATAGCTAATGAAAATAGGTAAAGAAAGTGATTAAAGTTTGACCCTGTGAATAGTAAGTGGGAAGAACATTTCAGGACGGAGGGAGTAATGCATATGTACGTCTGAAATTAACAATTTTTGTTTTTTATTAAAAGAGAATTTTTTTTGAGAACTTCGAAAAAATGAGGAATAAAATAAGAAAAAAATAATACAAAAATTAAAATGAATATCTTTTTTGGACATCTCAATTCTAAGGACTTTTTTAGGCGCGTCCAATTTTTTTTGTATAAGACTTTTTTGTGTATTTTAATTTTTTTTCATTTCGTTTTTCCGTATTTTTATTTTTTTTATTCTGGGTTTTTTTTGAACTTTCCAAAAAATTATTCTAAAAAACAAAAAGTGAAAATGTTTAATTTGAGATAGATGTAATGTATCTTAATTTTTTTATTTTTATTTTTATTTTTATTTCAAACACAAAGAATTTTTTAAATTTTTAAAACGTTATAAAAATTGAAAATATTTTTTTAAAAAAAATATAGGAAAAGGAAAAAGAGATACAAAATATTTAAAAAAAGGGAAAAATACAAATACGGAGTAATTAACTAAAATAAGAAATGAGCACGAATGCCCCTTATGGTTTAGAAATTATGCGCCAATACCCCCTCTTCGTCGGAAAATGGCCGGAAAATGATCAGAGGGGTGTGGGTGCAACATTTTGAAACCACGAGGACTTTAGAAATAAGTTTTAAAAACAGAAAGGGTATTGGTGCCAATTTTCCAAACTACAGGGGGCGCTGGAGCTATTTGGCCATCAAATGTATGAATACAAGCATTCCAACTTTTTTTTCAATAATTTGAACTTTTGGGAAGTGCATAAATAAACAAATACCGATTAAAAACAAATCAAACCCCTAAATTCGTAACCACAAATATATCTTGGGACAACAAAAAAAAACATCAATAATAATTTTGAAATTATGAATACCTCTTTCGAGTAAGTTTAACTACGTCTTTTTAGGACATTTTGAAAATGAAAGTGGGAAGAAAGTTAGGTTTTAGGCTAGAAAGAGTAACAGGAATAGGGCATATCTTGGCCAAGATTCAACCCGAGCCCGAGGTTAACCGACCCGACCGACTACTAAAATATCCGAACCCGAACCGAAAATAAAATAATCCGAACCCGACCCGAAATTTTTTACCCAAACCCGACATCGGGTCGGGTCGTGTGTGGATTTATAGTGGATTTATAATTTTACCCGACCCGAACCCGCACCCGACCCGATAAAACCCGAATATTTTATTGCATAAAAGTCTATCTATGGATATAATGAGCACTCCGTATAATCTTTTGACAAGGTGCTACTATATCAAGTATGCCTTTTATAATTATTTTTATAATCCCTTAATAAAAAATGAGACATAAAATATGAGACACAAAAAAATAAATTTAATCTTTTCAAAATTATTGGGGTATGTCGAATTGATTATTGGTTAAAAGTGGGGTTCGGGTTTCGGGTTGAAATGTCGGGTTCGGGTCGGGTTCGGGTTTTTGGCTTAAAAGGTCGGGTTTCGGGTCGGGTCCGGGTTTCGGTTTTAAAAGTCGGATCGGGTTCGGGTATAGTACTATCTGACCCGAACCCGACCCGTTGCCATCCCTAGCCAAGAACATGATACCCCTTAAGAGGGGGAAAAGAGCACGATTACATTCAAACTAAAGGGGTCAAGTGCTCCTAATTAAAATCTGAAAAATCTCTTTAGGGATATTTCAATTTAAAACAAAAAGTACCCTCAACAACATTTTATCCTAGATCTTTCATGAACTAGAAACCTCCCTCTTCCAACTTTCTAATGTTAGAACACTAGGTAAAGATGGAGTTGAGCTTTTATCCCACCTGAAAATTCCCACAATTTTCGCTCTACATGGACCCGTGTTGATTAAACCGGTCGTGTTGGATCGGAGAAATTCACAGCAACATTGGGTGTGAAATTGGATGATTAGATTGGCACAACAATACATATGATTCTGAAACGGCGTGAAAACGAAGCGCTCACTTGGCTGCACGAATATGACCATTTTGTCTCGCGGGGTGATGCCTGTCCCAACCCCCATCAGCTGTTCTCACAAATATTCGGGGGTGTTTAGCTGGGAATGTTTCTCGCCAATCCGGGTGTTTGATCAAATAGTCCCATTGCCTGAAAGAAAGAAATAATCAATTTCCCCAAGTGTTAATGCAATATTACAAAGTGTTTGAGTTCACTTGAGTATATTGGATTAAAAGAAGAATAGTGACCCCAAGCCATAGGGAAAGACAGGATTATTAGTATTACTTTAGATAAGTACTCCCTCTGTCCAAAAAAAGTCTCCATAATTGACTAACATTGATATTAAGAAAAATGAAATTGTGTGGTTAAAATTTATATGCAGGGGAGAGAAATGATATGAATTACATCTTTTTCTTTTGGGGACAAATGGAACACTCAAAATAACAACACATTTTTGGCTTTTCATCTTTAATAGTGCTACAATTAATCATTAACCATGGAGATTCTAACTTTTTTTCATATTTCTAGCTTAGGCTTTAGCCTTTCCTTATATAAATCAAGACAAGCACAACATCAGCTTTTTGAGAAACTTAACACCCAATGAATGCCACCACTCCAGAATGGAGTTTAAAAGGTAAGACATAGTGCTTTTCAGCCCTACTAAATGCATTCTCAAAATGAAAGCAACTCCTGAACACTTATTTAGTTTCAGAAAATTTTCATTCCCTAAACATGGAAAGTTTATTTCCCCAAAGTTTTCATGCATCATGTAAAGCAAATAGGTATAATGGTAATTCAGTTTATTTCCCCAAAGTTTATTGCCGCCATACTTATAATGGTAATTCAGTTTATTAAAGCAAATAGGCATCATGTAAAGTTTATTTCCCCAAAGTTCTATTGCCGCCATACTTATAATTTATATGATTGAAATTTGAACTTTCCCTTGGGGACAAGCAAATAGGTATAATGGCAATTCAGCTTCAATAACTCGATTATTGCACCTAGTACAAGTTTGGTTATTTCTACAATATTTATTAGAAAGCCAATTATTACCATCGATCTTAGTTAGAATCGTGATGTATGGAACAGAATATTGTTGAACACTGGTAAAATGACACAACTACCCAAAAATACAACTTGAAAAAAATTGTGACTGGTATTTTAGTCTAATATGAGAGTCACTTTCTAGAAGTTCCTGCCACTAGAACATTCAAAATATGAATCTACGACTAGCTATTTAGCCTAATATGAGAGTCACTTTCCCAGTCCATACACTGGGCTAGTTTTGTTTTCTGAAATGCCTCTTCAAATCAAGGCATTGCAAGATAGCCTTGATGTTTGCACACTCATGTAGAATAAAGAGGTTTAAACATAACCAAATAGCTAATGCATCATTACCTAGAAAAAACATAAGCATATTTACCTTCTTAAATTATCAACAAAGTCAGGAGGCTCGGCAGAAGGTGAAGTGGAACAGATGCGAAGGATTTCTGAAGCAGATAGACTTTGCAGCCACTGAGCAATCTTTTTCTGACGCGTGGACCTTCGCAATGAATAAAAGCAAATAAAACATATATTAAGGGAAAAATCAAGCTCAGTAATAATTCAATTCAATAAAGGAATCAAACTAAACAGTACAAAAGTCTATAAGGTATATCACAGAAGTGGCCATCCCAATATCTAAAATGGATTTCTCCCAAGATAACTGAGCTAAAGTTAACTTGATCCATCAGACCATCACATAAATTTCTTCATGTTTTCCTCTTATGGATATCACAGATTATCTTCCACTTTCCCTTGAGAGACTTGTTAAAAGAATTGTGTGGTTGATATTATTTCTCTCTCAGCATAAATCTCAACTACAAAAATTCTATTTATTAAAAAGCGTGTTGTGTCCATACAAGAAGAAGAATATGAGATCAAGTATATAAACAAAGTTGAGGTTTTACCAAGTGCAAGGAGCAATAATGAATTGGTCCGACTTAGTGTCATATGTCTCTAACAGTCTACCTCTCCAACTGGGGTCCTCAAATGAAGATGTCACTCGAATTCTCCTAATGAGTTCATCTGGACATCTAGTAGTTCCATCAAAGGTTGCTGGAAATATTGACCCAGTGGCAGTTTCCACCTAGCAAAGACATATGAGCAGATCCATGGTGAAAGAGTGAAACTAGCAGAGATTCACCGCCCTTACATATTCAGATTACCAGGAAACCGTGGAACATTGGTCGTGCATTTCCTTCTGAATCCTTTATTGTGTTATAATCAAGGACATGCAGAGTTAGAATATTGAAACTATTGGTATTCTTCCCCAGAATGTCAACTATCTTGGAGCATATAGGAAAGGAATATCCCTCCCACTTTTCATTATCTTCTCTAACACCACTTTCAGGCTGCAAAAATGCCCAACATATTACATCAGCATCATGATGTTGCCTTCATGTCTGTCTCATCTAATGAAAACTTTAAACACACAATTAGAGAAATTGGCGCTGACTTGATGTGAGACATCATTAAAACCACCAACTAGATGCACCTGCACATGACATAAATGTAAAACAAAAGATTAATGAGAAAAATTACAGAGGTTAATAAAAATAAGACTTTGACAATTAGAAGGAAGAAAAATACATCCAAGATGGCATATTTGCTATCAACAATGGAGGAGAGCATCTGGGTTATGCCAATTTCAACAATATCTGGGGAATCTACATGGGCAACAGAGATCCTGCAACCAATATGGAAATATCTCTAAGGTAGAAATGTACTTCAGTCCTAAGAAGCATAGACACAGACACAGCCATAGGGACATGACATGTATGGACACAAGGATAAGAAAAATTCATGAAAACTAGGACACGGACATGGCAGAGAAATGAGATAGCATGATAGTTTAAATTTTTTTAAAAAAATTATAATATTAAAATAAAAGCATAATGATCAAGTTCTTAAACATAAATATACTTCCAAATATTCATCAGGTGAGCCTTAACTCAGTACGTTTCCTTACACATGTTCAACATAAATGTTTGTTCATCGTAATCTAAAAGGTTTATCATCAGTGGTATTTATTTCCTCTTATCAATTGTCTCCTTATCACCCATGCTACCTAAATCACACAGTTGCATGAAACTCCAACCTAAAGTGAATTTGGATCCTTACATTCCACTTTCAGGGTTTCGTATGACAAGACCTACGCACGTCGTCGCCTCGTCAGTGCCAACCATCTTCCTCGTGGCAACAAGAAAATGTTAGACTGTAAGAGAGGAAAGAGATCACTAACAAAATTATGACCAGAAACGTCCAGACATACAAGTAAAAATTGAGTGCAAAAAAGAAAAAGGAAAATAAAAAAAAAAATAAGTTACAGGATTCAGCACAATATGATCCATATACGGCCATAACAGAGAATTAATATACGAGTAAAACTTCTTTAGAAATGATTACAACAATAAAAAAATGCAGTAAAATCCCACAAAAGTAGGGTCACTGGGAGTGTGAGTATGAAACCTTACCCCTACTTGGAAGTGGAGAGGTTGCTTCCGAGTTCCAAGAGACCCCCACTTCAAAATATATATAAGTGGACATATTACGACGAAAAGAGTAAGAGCATAGATACAATGTCTGGGAAGGGTGCGTGTACGCAGACCTTACCCCTACTTTAAAGTAGAGAGGCCATTTCCAAGAGACCCCCAGCTCGAGTAACACAAACAACACAAGATCACAAAAGGCACATAAAACACAGAAAGCACAGAGCACAAAAGAAGCAAAGCGCAAACTAATGTTAACGAAACAAAAACCCAGCCAGCAGAAATCACCCAACATAAAAGCACACAAGTGCAGAAAGTACCACCAAGCCAAGAATGCCTACCCAACTACCATAATCCCAGCTCTCCACGTGCTCATATCAATTGTTGTATCCTCGATAAGAGCAAGAAGTCCTAGATCATGTCTAATCACATCCTTCCAATTCTTCCTAGGTCTACTCCTTCTCAGACTCCCTTCCACCACTCTAAGCCTCTCACATCTCTGCACTGGGGCCTCAATACTCTGCCACCTCACATGTCCAAATCACCTCAACCTAGGTTCTCACAGCTTATCATCCACGAGTGCCACTTCTACCCGTCCTCAGATAACCCGTTCCGAATCCTATCTAATTTCATTTGCACACTCATCAATCACAACATCCGCATCTCTATAGCATGCAGTTGACGAGCGTGGGCTTTTTTAACCGTCCCGCACTCCACACCAATGCACCATATAACAAGCTGGTCTGACTACAAACCGATAGAACTATCTGTCCATTATAGTTGAAATATTATTATCCCATGGAACCCCTGAAGCAAACTTATGTTTAGCCCAAGTTGTTTCAATACGGTGTGCAACATCCTCGTTGAACTCCCCATCTACTTGGATCACCGAACCAAGATACTGAAACTTGTCTATCTTAGGCAATGGGTGGGAACTAATCCTAACTTCCACCTCCGATTTCGTCACCCAGCCAATAAAACATTTCATGTATTCAGTCTTAGTCCTACTTAGAGCCTGTTCTTTAGGGCTTGAACTCTTAACTTCCAGTTTCTTTCAATTCTTTCCAATTCCTTCCAGTTCTTTCCAATTTCTTCCAGCATCTTACAATTCTTTTAGTTCCTTCCAGTTTCTTCCAGTTTTTTCCAGTTTCTTCCAATTTCTTCCAACTATTTTTATTTTCTTCAAACTCTCTCTACTTCTCGACTAATTATTCTAAAAACGATATATTATTATTATTATTTGTATTATTACACCTATTATGTTCATAACTATAGTTTATACATTATTTCATTTTTTCATCTCATTATTTTTATGATACACACTGATTATTTTCATCAACTTTTTAATATGACTAACACCATTTTTTGTATATTAATCTACAAGATAAAATAGGAAAACATCAGTATTTTAACTATTTTAAAAAAACTATGGATAAAATAGTTACATAAAATGTTTTTTAATCTAAATTTATATAAGGAAAACATCAATATTTTAATCTAAAAATATAATAATGAAATAGGGTGGGGGAGTACTACATTATGAAAAATTGAAAACCATGAGAGAACTACATCTTGAAAAAGAAAAAAAGACCCAAAAAGTGTAAAAATCAAATTCAAATAACAAATAATATCACCAATAATTAAAATACAACTAACAAAAAAGTTATACTTTCATTTATTTGATCTACTTTTTACTGTTTCTAATATGTAAAATATTGCGCATATGAATATAAATAATCCAATCATTTTCAACATAATCATATTGTAAAAACTATACTCCGTATTTAGTATCTTCAGTTAAGCTTAATTGAATTGTAGAATATTAACTATTATTTCATCTCTAAACTGCTTCATTGCATCTTTAGTTTGTTCATCAAACAACATTACTTTGGGCCTATCTTCTGTTGTTCGCTGCTTCGGTAGAAGTAAAACATAAAAATTGTAAAAAAAAAGTTCAATGTCTTTATTCCAAAACTAGGGTTACAATGAAAAAAACAATCATTAAAGAAAAAATAGGTGTGAATACATTATGTGACATATCTGATATTTAAAACAAAATCTTCTAAAATATAAAGTATAATTACAAATAAATTATTTTATGATAAATATTGCATAAATAAAGTGACGTGCAGAGTAGCCACAATAACTTTTAAATATTTAACATTTTGATATTTATGCTAATTTTATATTTTAATTAATTTTTTTTGCAAAAGTAATTTTTTTTGTGTATGAAAAATAACAATATTTTTTTATCTTAAAGGCATTCATTAAGATAACGTGATGTCAACAACAACAACAACAATATTATTATTATTATTATTATTATTATTATTAATTTATAACAACAAGAATTAAAATAAGAATAATATAAAAATACACAAAAAAAATTTTTTATGTTTTTTATATTTTCCAATTTTTTCTAGTTTTTTCAGTTTATTTAAATTTTTCCAGTTCCTTCCAGTTTTTTCCAGTTTCTTCCAACATCCAGCTCTTTTTTCCAGTCCTAAAGAACATGCTCTTAGTGTAAGCCCTTTGGATTCTAGGGAAAGGTGCCTTAACTCCAACTTGTCATTTAGTCCTTTGCCGGTATCGTCAATCATAACTATATCGTCAGGAAAAGGCATGCACAAAGGGACCTCCTCTTGAACTCTCTGCGAAAGGGGCTAAGAGTAGACCCCTGGTGTAACCCATCTTTACAGAGAAAGGCTCAGAGCCACCCCTAACCGTCTTTAGCCTAGCTCTTACCCCGCCATACATATATGTGACTGCTCGAACATAAGGGATCGAAATCCCTCTCAACTCAAGACACCTCCTCCCTTGGCACACCGTCGTATGCCTTTTTGAGGTCAATAAACACCATATGCAGATCCTTCTTCTTAGGCCTATACTCTTTCACCTACTTTCGTACACCTTCTCGAGGTCAATTAACACACATACCAACATTAGTGATTAGACTTCAAGCACATCGCGTACAAATGCTTCGAAAATGAATGACCTTTAAAATTGTTTACATAACAGCAAGGTTTCATTCTATATATGAAGAACCTAAAGGATAAAACATATAGAAAATAAAAGGTTGGCTGCAACTAGGGAAAGGATGTTGACAAGCAATACTATAACAAGAAGAGGAATGCAAACAAGGGTATTTCAAATATTACAAAGGGTGAAGTTTAGCTGAAAGAAAAATGTTAACACTCAGGATCAATGGTTGAATAATCCATTCTGCTAAAGTACAATTGCAGGATAAAGAGAATAACTCTTAACTTACATCAACAAGTGAAGGGTTGATAGTTGCATATTCTCTTTGGAAAACATAGACCCATTTTATATGTCTTGTTCCCACCAAATGAGAATTATTGGAAAGAGAAAATTTTCTCTCCAGAATGGCACTAAATGAACAAGATGCAGACATCAAAGCAGGATGATTCATTAAGGCCATCAAGATACCGTTTCCCTGCTTAGAGTAACAAAAAGGGCATGTGTAAGGCCAAGAACGAGGATGACAGAAAGTTAAAGGAAACCGAAGAACAAACAAAGACTGAGAGGAATTGGAAATGGTTAAGGATGAGTTTTTATTGAGATCCCCAAAATCCTAGACTTTCGCTAAAACAATTGCTACACGTCTATTTAAGAAACAACTTCTCCCGTTTATGGAAGAGCAAGAAGTCTTCCGATGTGAACACTACGCAAAAATCTGAGTATACTTGAGAGATTAGCTTTTGTTTAAAAAATATATTGATAAAAGATAAAGAATAAACAGTTATAAACATGATGTACGATGGTATAATGCAGCATTTATTTCACTGAAATATGCTGTGAACAGTTGTGCTTCTAATTCTAGCAAATGTAACCCTGGAATGCATAAACAAATTTCTCTAATTTGCAGCAGCTTAAAGTTGTTATTTTCTAGGGAGAGGGGAGACCAGTTACTGCCGCACCACGCACAACCCATGACCAGGGACAAAAGTTCATATTTTGGACTAAACCCTACTGGGATGCTTTGTTATTCATTATTAACTCATACATGTATGTCATTTTCCTTAGTAGGTTGGGATTCCTTTTAGTGTCAAATTCTTAATTTGTTGTGTATTAAACCATTAGTATTTAATAATAGTTGTATATGTGTGGCCTTTATACTCTCCTATAAAAGGGGGCTTCATGGCTTGAAGAATATAAGCAATATTTTAGAGGAAAACTCAGTGACTTTTGCACTTTTGGGACCTCAAGCAAACCCAATTTATCGTGTCCTTGTTCTTCTTTTCCATAGGAAGCCTGTGACGTTTAGCCTTTAAAAGAAATAGAAACTCCAAGAGTTTAAACTGTATATAATTGCTCAAGAAAACTCTTGTTCTCAGAATTGCAGAGAGAATCGTGATTAACTACATCAAGTATGCACTTATTAAAGGTTGCATTCTTGAGAAGAAAGAGAGAAGCAGTTAAGGGGTGACAACCAAATGGATGTGGTAGTACATATCCATAAAGACAATCCAGATTATTCTATAAAAAAAGCATTTCTTTAGGACACTGTCAGCCAAAATAATACTCCCTCTCTCCCAAATTATACTTCCCGTTTGCTTTATCACAGAGCTTTAAGGAAAAGTGAAATTGTTTGGTTGAAATCCATGTAAAGGACTACTGGAGAAAATAATTGTAGACCGCCCAATCTATTCTTTAAAAGGAATGAGAATTTATTTTGAGACTACCCAAATGGAAAGATTATTTTGGGATGAAGGGAGTAACTAATAAATACAAGAATTTCCAGAAATAAAGGTGCAAGTCCAGAGGTTTGCTTCTCAGGTTTAACATAGAGCGGTTGTTTCCAGATGACCCATGATGAGCATCAAAAGATGCATTGACTAACTGTTACTTCACTATTAAAAGAAGCGTGTGAAGTTATTGGTATCAGATCTCGATAAACAGAAAACAGAAATCTAGAACAAGAACTTATTGGAAATCCTTCTCCAATTAATTGAAAAACTTTGAATACATAAAATACAGAGAAACTATCCCTATTTATAGATGAGTTAACCTTGTCCACCAAGTTAAATCATCAGCCTTGCTCTCCAAGCATAACATCTCCTACTCCTACAAGCTATGATAATCTCAAATCCATCTGAGATATATCTCCTAAAATTATGACTGACTCTACCCTAATTATTAACAAATAAAGACTTCAACATAATTACAAAATAAACCCCCTAACTATTACTGAATGTCAAGATTGGTCCAACA